ATAATTATTAATGAGAATAAGATCTTTCAAGATTATTAAAATTTCGTTTTGTCCTATTCTTAAGCTAGATAAATTCTATAATTATGAAATTAAAAATTTTTTTTATAGACAAAAAAATTCGCATTGTAATTTTTTTTACACTGTGCTATGAATGTAGTTTGTGCTTTTTTTAAAAAATATTCTTTTGTTTTAAATTCTTTCTATATTGTTCATTGTTTTTGTCTTAATATTTGTCTATACATTTATTACGTCAAATAAATTTTTTTGTAGATATTTGAGAAATAATAAAAGAAAGAAGTAAAATATTTTATATAAGATTAATTTGGTCTATCCTTTATTTACTATCTTTGGTCATTCTTTAATAATAAATTTTTTTGTAAATAAAAATCCAAAAGCAAATTAATGTCATGAATTCCTTAATTGGTTACAAACTATCGAAATTAATTTGAATCTATTATTGTGAGTTGATTTCATATTCACTAATTTGTCATTTGAAAAAAAATGCAAATCTTGAGGATTCTTAATCACATATAACTTTTTTTATTTACAAAAAAAAAATCTTTAAATCGATCTGAACCTGATATTATATGTTATTTCTATACTATATTTCTTATTTTATAAAAACAATAACACCTATCTTGTTCTATTCTCGTTTTATCTCGTTTTATCCCACTTACTTCTCTATTCATAAAAATTAAATTATTATTAATTATATAATAACTTTTCCATTTTATGATTGATCATAAATTGTCTTTAAATCGATTTGAATCTAATATTATGTGTTGGCACATTGTATTTTCTATTTAACAAAAACAACAATAACTACCCCAGTCTATACTATTGATAAATCTTGAGAATTGTTAATGCAACCCTTCTAATCTCTTTTTCTATGTATTTATATCTTTTCATCGAACGAATCGATTTCAAATCATTCCATCTAACAACTAAGGAATCTTTTCACTTCAGATTTTGCAAACAGATTACTAAATCCCTTCTGTAAATAACGTTTTGCGTGAATTATAAGAGCTGCGTTTACCAAGTATGTTGTTAGGCGACGAATACCGAATTATTAAATTACACGGGAAGAAAGATTTTTGCACGCGACACAGGACGTTGGAAGCCTTCGTGACCCATGACTGATGTCTCTGGCAAACAACACTTTGTCCCGTTAAAAAACCTCCCTTTTTTAAAATTCAAATTCTTTCACGGAGTAACATTAATCGGTGTAGTTTATCGGCATAGATAACAATCGAGCAACACACAACACGTGTTTAATCCTACAACCACGAAGTTTGGAAACTGTAGACATATATAGAAATATCTTTCGTCTTGACCGAAATTTTCTCTTGCAAGTTAATAAAGTTGTTGGCTTTACTACCTGTTAGCAATATTCTTCGCGAATAAACTATCGAACATAGTTCGTAAGAAACTTGTCTAAGTAGTATCTTATATCCTAACCACAGAACTGAAACTGACCAACTTGTGAAGCAGGATCTATGTCAAGAATTTTGTTTCGACATAAGGTAAGAGAGAGAGAGAGAGAGAGAGAGAGAGAGAAGATAATACAGTTTGACACAGTTTGACAGTTTCTCTTCGTAAAAGACACTTTTAATGAGGGATTAGAATGGGCAACTTGTGAAGTAAAATTTTGATCAGAATATAAAGTAAGAAAAAACATGATTTCAATTTATTTTACCTCATATCGAGACAGAATTCTTAATATATCTGAGTCAACTTAATCTAATGTAACCTAATCTATCTAATCTAATCCGCTTTGCAAGTTGGCTAATCAGTCTAAATCGTAACACGAGTGTTCTAACTAAAACTAAATTTGTAAATTATATAATTTTTAATATAATAGAATAATATTATAATTGAAATGAAAGCAAATATAAAGCAATGAACAACAATTACAAACTACATTTTTTTGTTACTAATATTTCATGATTCACACAAATTTTTTCATAACATATTTCAAATTTATCAATTTTGTTCATTAAGCGACACATCGTGCTGTGGCCAGGATGCATTACTACGTACTGTATAGTGAAATTCTTTTTTAGGTTAGGAAATAGTGTCGAAGAAAATACGAAATACGAACTCGTACCAGGAAGATACGGGCAGCTGGTCACGTGATTGAAGTTCTGCGACTGCATCTCTTCCTGGTCAGTCTCACGATGATAGAAGTAGTTGAAGTTGGAGACAATGACGGGCACAGGCAGGGCGATCGTCAACACACCAGCGATCGCGCACAAAGAGCCCACGATCTTCCCCCAGACTCCCACGGGCCTGAAGCAGAGGGAAACAAACGGTTTCATTCGCGG